TTCGGCCGAGTCTGACCTGACGAACAGATAGCTTGCTTGCTTCACTTTGTCGCAGGAAATCACGCAGCCCCTCTTTCTCTTCTCTTCTTTTCTTACTCGTACATACATACATGCACAGCGTATCATCGGGAGGCTTCTCTCCAGTGCCGTGGTCTAAGCCCCCACGCGCTGACGAGGGAAACCATGTCCGCTTTTCTCTCTTTGCATTCTTCATTTGTTCTTTCTAGGGATGCATGTTTCATGAGGCGGCACAAGGCCGTGTGGGCAGCTAGGGGGGAGGACCGAGGTTCTCTCGGTTTCCGGCAGTGTCCCTCTGCTCTGCTATGCTCTGCTGTGCTTGTCATGCAAGAAAGGCACCAGTTTACAGACTTCATCCCGCTATATCTGCCTATATAGCTGCCTCGTCGTCCCCTTGCAGCAGTAGCAGTAGCAGTAGCAGTAGCAGCCATCTTTGGATAAATCGTACCTACATGAGCACCCATATGAGCACCTGCATGGAAAAAACAACTTACTTGTATGGAAACCAAAGACTGTTTACATCTCGTAACAAATCGCCGAGCTCGACGGAGTAGGTAGGTAGCTTTACCCGCTTTATTACCCCTCCCCCTCCCTCTCCAAGAAACAACCTGTTTTTGCAAGACAAGAAAAATGTACAAGTAGTGCTCCCTTTCCACCGCCCAGTACCCACCTGGAAAGCAGCAGTAGCAATACGAAAGAGAGAAGGCGAAAAAGGGTACAAAGTTCGCTCACGCATATTTCCCCCTCTCTGCGCTTCAAGAGTTTGTGTGTGTGATTGAGGTGGTGTACGAAGCCATCTGCTGCTTAGTCGCATCGCTCACCACATTCTTGGACCAGGCAGATCGGCTGCTTCGGCGGGTAACACTTCCGCAAGAACCAAAAAGAAGAGGAGGGGAGGAGAGACGCAAAGGAGGCGTAACCGGCCCAGATTTCCCACAGGTCCAGGCTACAACATCCTATAAGCCAAGCCCATTCCACGCTTGTAAGCCCAGCGCCATCAGCCATCATACAAACGGGATCAAGCTTGGTAGCGTGCAGGCATATCCGGGCAGCGCCTCCAATCACGGGCTGGCAGAGGCCAACTATTGGCCACCGACGTAGGAGCAGCAGCTTTTTTCGTCGTGCAGAGCATGGCCGCGCCGAAGCGGAAGGAGGGAGGAAAATCCGTTGCGGGACTTGGAAACCTGGAGAACCGATGGGCCGGCAAGAATCTGGGCTGGCCTGTTTCAACCGTAGAAACTTCTTGAACATGGAAATGGCTGCTGATCGTGGCGTTCGTGATTCTTGGGTGACTCAGGCTGACCCTGCCTAATGATCTTCGTCTTGATCATCTCGTGTAAGTGTGACTGAGCTGGACTGACTTGGCCGCTGCTAGTACTTGCACATTACGTTGATATCCGGGCCAGGCCTAATCGAGATTTACCCGGCTGACACATCGGTGGCAATGTCCATGGGCCTCTCCACGCGCCCAGAGTTGAGACGCTATCCTTACTTCCCCGTCGTCAAAGGTAGACTTACAAGATACCCGGATCTGCAGGCCTGGAAGTACCGTGTCCTTGGCCCGATGTTCACGATCGCCACTTCAACGACGTAGCCTTACATACGTGCACCATACAGCTCCGAGAAATGCAAGTCAGTCGAGCAGATGCGGAATAATGTAGGCACCAATGGATCACGACGGACTCGTAGACACCTGCTCGGTGTAATACAGGGTAAGCAGAGCTCATGTAGGTATAACCTGGTGATGCTTGATGGATGATCATTGTTCCGAAACATTCCCTTCCAAGGCATTTCCGAGAAAGAATTACGTAGCAGCGCAACCTACCACCACGCTTGTGCATACGAACGCACCACTGTGTCGACAGGATGATCGCAGTGGAAAGCTTGATTCTTTCAAAAACCAAACGATTTAGAGCTTCACCAGTCATCACCCAGCCTCCGCGTGAGCTAAGCTCAGTGGCCAGGCAGACAAGAAAGGAAATTAGACTCTTCAGGGTCCAAGGCTCCCACTCACCAGTCAGCAGAGAAGGGCTGGGAAAGTAGCAAAATCATGCTGTTGTTGTTACCTAACAATAGTAGCCAACCGTGTAACGCGTGATCAAGGGAGAAGACCGCATACGCGGGCTATTACCGGGTATTTTTAGGAAGGGAAAATAAAAAGGGACCCTGGAGCTGAGGCTGAGGGTTGGCGCATGGGGGAATGATCGCCGTCGTCATTAATCTCGAAATAGGCTTGGTGGTTGCCTTCCCCCCTAGCCGGACTTCCCAGAGCCCATCCCTGCTGGTTTCTCTGTGTACAAGCGTGGTTGGAGACGTAGCATCCAGACAATTGATCGATGTACTCACATTAGCTGTACAGCCAATGTACAGCGAGTCTTGGATGTGCCAGAATGGACAATGTGTCCAGGGAGGTACATATGCGCGCGCAGCAGGTCCACCTGGGCTGGCACTTTGGCACGAACCGTCCAGGCAGATTGGCAGGGCGTCTGATGATGTGCAGACCCTTTTTTATGCCCAACCATCTGCTGGCATGCCAGACTCGTGCATGGCGCGGGAATGGAAGAAAAGCAGGTTGGGCAGCCTCCTCATGCTCCCCTCTTCGTCTGTGCCAGTAGCATGTCCACGGTGGCATCCCCGCGGTGGCATCGCTATCCAATCTTGGACTCGATGGAGATGCCGTAGTTGTATGGCATGTACAAGTACAGCATGTACACCTGCAATGCCTAGGCACTTCCCAAGTCCGTACAAAGCACAGCAGGCTGATCTGCATGCGTACCTGGTGTATACAGCCAACTACATAGCTGTACGAGTATGCGGGAGATGACCAGCCTCAACTCATGCATCCCAATGCTCAATGGTCAGCAGCGCTGCAGAACCGCGACAACCCAAAACAAAGACCGACATTTCGTAGATCGAGGCAGGTACATACAAGGCTGCAAGAGTGTTACCAGTCGCTAGTCGAAACCCCAGGGCGTCAGTGTAACATCCTGACCGCCAGGTCCAAACCGGCTCCTCTGCTTAGTAGCATTTCAAGAGGCCTGGTTTTAGCTCCCCAACATGTTCAATCGCCAATCCTACCACGCTGATTGGCGTCTGGCCTGCGATTCTGGATCAACTGCCCACACAAAGAGCGAGAAAAAATCTGAGAGGGGAGGGAAAAAAAAAACAGAGGCGTCTAGGTAAGAGGCACCGGAAGGCTGAAACTAGACTGACTTATCGAAATTTCACCCTCATTTCCAAGCGTGCCGGCACAGGGGTCTGGGCCAAAGTAGCCAATGCTCTGCTCTCCCTGCTTTTCACATGATCTCCTATTCTTATCGCTCGGCTGGCGTGGTAACGACGAGACTGAAAACGAACACGCTGACCACGCTCTGTTGATGTCAGCCCAGGCCAAGTAGCAGATCTTCCCTCGGCCCAAATGCTAGCTGATTCTGAGACGCTGTCTGGTCAGCGCATTTGCGATTCCTCCCTCCGCCCAGCACGCACTGACTTACACTAGCCACAGGCTACCCGTCGTAATAATAGCAGCAGCACGGCGTAGTACTTGTACGTGTAGGAGTTGTGATAGACAGAGCAGTGCTAACAACCCAAGCACTACTGCTAGTACAAGTAGCAGTTCGATGTGGTTGCTAGCAGTAGTGCTCCGTAAGACTAGCAATGGTTAGCTAAACGGAGACAAGCCGTGGAACCCATCTAAAATTGGAGTAATCTCAATGGTTGGTGCCCGTCCCTGAAAAGAAAATTAACCACGGGTCTGGGTTTCTTTGGCGTGTTCCATCAGAACTCATAACGTGGTGCTACAGGCTGGTCGGGCCTGGACTTGCAACCCCTTGACCGCGTTTCATTTCCTGGAATACCGTGCTTTGCGCTTCGAAAGTATTGCAGTACTGTAGTTGTGTAGGTACATGGTGTCGGAAGACCCAGTTACCGTAGCTTGTACGGCAATCGGCTGTTGCGGACCATGTTCTGCAGCCACTCCTCCGGCACACTGTCCACGTCTCTTCCCTTGCTCTGGCCCATTGAGCCGTTAGGGAAACTCATTGTGATACTGAGTAGGTATGGCTACCTGTGTAGTGCACGATGCTCCGGGGTCATGGCTCGCGGACTTTGCGGGCTGAATAATGATGCTGCCACCACCTAGCCTCTTACAAGAGCAATTGGTTGCTGGAGGTGGCTCATACCGGATGGTATGGTGGGCTGGCTTGTCGTCATGTGTCCTGAAGAATCGCTTCTTCTTTCTTCTTCTTACAGGGTCGCACATGCATGCGTGCTAGCGGACTAGTGACCGAAGCTCTACTAGACATTTGGATCCAGGGTCGGGTATGCTGGTGTCGAGAGAGATTCAGAATTAGCCGGCCGAGATTTTCCTTCGCTTGCTCCGGCGGTCGGCCGTGAAAGCTGGGGCACTCAGGCGCGAGTCGCGCGGCCGCCTCAAAATTCAACAACATCTATGTACCTTTCCACCACGGAAGAGAAGCTGTCCAGTTGAGTCGCAGCATGCACGGCGTGCAATGTGCAATTGGGCTGTGATTGAATGGATGGCGATGCAGGCAGAGATCATGACTTGTGACTGGCCTGGTTGCTGCAGAAGGCCCACCACTTCGAAGCACTTGTTTTTTTTTTTTTTTTTTTTTTTTTGCTGTGAAGACTTTGGAGTGTAGTCCGAGTACCTGTAATGGAAGTCAATCTGTACCTCTGGACTGAGAAAAGCTGCCCTGGGCGGTTGAACCGAAGCGCGAAGGCGGAGGACTGGAGTGAGGGATTTCTCTCCGCATTCTCCATCGCCCAAGCCGTAGCGGATAATTTTTTTTCTTCAGAAAAAAATTGGAAGGCTTGATGGCTTCTGCTAGCATTGCGATGGAGTAGGGTACTCGAAAGCGTGCACCGATTGTACCTTGTGCGCGCTACAAGTAGCGCTGCTTGGACACTTACACAGCTTAGCACGCACGCATCTGCACAGTCCCCTGTCCATGCATGCTGATTTAGATGGAGGGATTAGGAACAAGCAGGTCAGTCTGTCGAAAGTTCAAGCAGGTACTTTGTACGAAGCAGCAAAGGTGGAAAGGTGTGGCAGGGAACCCCCAAAACCCAGAGGCGATTGATGACTGGGAGAAAGCACTCCGTCCCATACTCGCATCTCCCACAGCGTAGTTCTCGGTGGTAACGGTCATGGCATCGATGGCCTCGGCCTCGGTCGATGCTATGAGTAGAAGGTCAGCAGCGCTGAGCTCTCTGCTGGGCCCGTCCTTGCCCTGTCTGCTCTGCCCTCTGGCTGTGGACCACAGAGCGCCCTCGTATTTGCAAACAGCAACATCTGCACGAAATGGGCTGCGGAAAATGCGTTCAAGTGTAATTGTTCGGGCCGCCCAAGGATCCGACAGCTCCGTCCAGCGTGCGAGGGCTTGTCGATCAGGGCTCCAAGACACAGTGCCGCCACGAGAGCCTGAGCAGCGAGCGTCCAAGACACAGGCGCCACCGATTCACACCGGATCATGCAGGCAGGGTCTCAGGACCTTTTCCAAGTCCACGGCCCATTGCTGGCGCCATTACAAATGCTGCTCCGGCCAAGAGAGTTGTCGACAAGGCACAAGCACAGACAAGATGGCTCGAGGATAAAAGCAGAGGCCCCATCGCGCCTAACCGGGTTCGCTCCGTGACTCGCAGATATACCTCGTTCGAGAACGGGCATGGCCCCGTGCTGGCGCCAGGGATTGGGCGGATTGGCGGGCTGGCGGATCCAGCGACTGCGACGCGATTCCCTTTTGACAAGAATGTGCAGTGCCAGTGACGACGGCCTGCCGGAGCCAAAAGCTGGAGACTGTGCTGGACGCACGCCTGGGCCGGCCACCCCTTCGCCTTTGGCCTTGCGTCACATCCCATCAGACGACCAGTCCAGTGGTGGGCAGCAAGCCGCCGCGAAAGATGCCTGCATGTGAGTCGTCATTCCGAGCATCTGCAAATTGTAGTCATCGACTCCGTACTCGTGCTCGCGCTGGCACGGACGTGCGCGTATATGGACGGAGCAAGCGGTAGGTGTCGGGTTTCTTGTTCCTTTTTTGCCTCACCATAGGACATCAACAGCGGATTTCGTCTGCTGTTCTAAAGCGTCACGCCCAGTCTGGCTTCAGATGGGGCTGCTTATTCTAGCCTTGGTCGTGGAAAGGGGCAGAAAAAGATTGACAACGTCAAAACTTTAGTACTGTAGAAAGAAAAAAAAAAAAAAAATTCTTTTCTAAAAAAAACATCGTGCCACTTTTCCCGCAGTGGGCGTTGAGCGAGCAGCTCCAGTCGTCCCGGCCAGGCAGGCACTACTGACTCCCACAGTGGCAGAAGCCAGTCACGGTGGCAACTGCGTTAACGCCCTCGTGCAGCGCAGGTCGCTGTGGGAAAATCCTCAGGAGGCACCGCACCGCAGACGAAGTCTTCCAAGCCTCCCAACCATCCTGGAGTGGGAGTACACGAGCTGCCGGGGTGCTCTGGCTGCATGCGCCGACAGTACTGAGGTACTCGGTACGGCCTGCATGTACCTGGAGGCGAGGCACGCTGATGCACGAGGAAGGCGCTGCGCCCCTGGGCCAATCAGCACGCACGGCGGCGCCCTGGTTTAGCTAGCACATTGTCCATGATTGTCCACAGAGGCGCCACCAAAGCACCGTGTGCAGTGGAGATGGCCGCCGAGGTACCGCGCCAGCCTGCTACGCGCGCGTGGGTACTTCTGCACTGCGACCCCCATTCCGCTAGGCTTTAGTTGGCCCGTCAGTGGCACTGTTGCGGCCCCACCCACTCCGGGGCAAAGAAAAAAAAAGCAGCTTAGTACGAAGCTCCAAGTACTCGTACCCGAGAGCCCCCCTGTCCAGCCCAAGTGCTTGAGGACCCCATACCTGCAGTACGTACTCCGGTCTTGCGGTAAAGAACCTGGGAGGGATTGGCAGGTGAGAGAAAAAAGTTGGCTGCTCCAGCCAGCCCCAGGTACCTTGGCGCCTGGCGCATGGTGGGTGTCCACTGCAATACCTGCCACTGCACTACCGCTGGGGACTGCCAACTGGTACTGTTCCACCGCCCATGCCCTAACTGCTGTCGCTGTGCCGCCCGTAACCTTCATCTAGTAGAGCTCGCGCTCTTCATTTCTGCGCTCCCACACCTCAACCTCTTCTTTCATATTTTCTTCAACCCTTTTCCCTCCTCTTCCTCCTCCACCGAATTCCGAATCCGCCGATTTCTCGACAAGCCTCGTCGCGAACTCGCCATCGTTCGTCGACGTCTGGATTCAGGTTTCTCGCGTGAGCCTACTCCTCTTGTTGCCTCCAGCTCGCTGCTGTGCAGGTAGCTTCTTTGTGTTCCCACGGCTTGTCTGCAGTGGCCGCTATCAACACGGTCACGTCTACTTCCGCTCAACGGTCACATCCTTTGGAGGGTTTCTTTTTTACAAAAAGCTCTTGTGAGGACACCTCTCGAATAGAGGTTAGTATTTATTGCTTTACTTTCGACTGCATCACCGATCTTGCTGCAACATGGTTCCTTCCCAACGTCCCGCGAATCCTCGCCGCGACACCAGCGATTTGTTTTGACAACACTCCATCTTTATAACCACTTACCTTCCTACATCCGTCGATCGATTCACTCCTCGATGCTTTTAATGAAGATTGCATCCATAATCAACGATTCGACGTCATTCCTTCGCTTTGTTTATTCTTCTTGTGCCAGTGGCAAAACGCACTTTGCAATATAATAAACATTGCTTCCTTGAACTTTACGCCTCTCTCGTCACACCACAAGGCATGACTTGTACATGATCTGCTTTTCACTGTGCCGCATGTCCCCAACTTAATGATTTTATTTACAAGATCACTCTGCTAACAGGTCATCTGAAAACAGAAAAGCTTTTTCATCACGCTACATCCTTTTTTCCTTCTCTTTTTCCCTCAGTCTCGCTTCCAGCTTGCGTTAACGCCCATACTTGGACTTCGACGTTGAGCGATCTCTGAACCTTGGACGGCCATTTTTATTTGACCGACTGATCCATTACGATATCCTTTTGTCACGTTTTCTTATCTTCAAATCGCTTCCAACAGCATTTTCGTCGCACTTCACGACACAACTCTTCCCACGTTAAATGGCTCTTGCGTCTCAGTAGAGCTCCATCGACACATTTCTTTTTCGCGCCGCTTTGCCGATCCGCACGTTCTGCTTTCTTGTCCCGAGACCACTCCATAAAACAGCAGTGCATTGCCACGTGCTGTTTTCGTCTCCGACAAGAAATCTTCAATCCGACAAAGATCTGTTCGATCTTCGTCGGACCTCCTCCACTACCGTCATCATGCCCGGAGGCGTTTGTGCCGTCCTCGATTATGAGGTCGACATGATGGCTGAGTATGTCGCCGAGATGGCAACTCGCGTGGTTACCCCCGACGCCAGCGTCACTTCTCCTTTCCGGAAGTTTGTGTCGCAGATCCTCACTTCCACTAGACTGCCCAGCACGACCATTCTTCTTGGAATGAACTATCTCGCCAAGAGAATCAACTCCATGAAGACTCAAGGTCCCTACAAGGCCTCTGAGGGTCAGGTTTGGCGTTTCCTCACCGTTTCGCTTCTCCTTGGCAGCAAATTCTTGGACGACAACACCTTCCAGAACCGATCATGGTCTGAGGTTAGCGGCATCCCCGTCTCCGAGCTGAACACTCTGGAGTATGATTGGCTTCAGGCCATGAGCTGGCGACTCTACGTCAACCTTGATCACAGCAAGGACTATCAGGCCTGGCTTGACAACTGGCGTGAGTGGCAGCAGATGAAGAAGCGACAGGCCGCTCAAGCCAACAGGGAGCGTCTGGCTTCGCTGGTCCCTGCCATCGATACCGATTTGGCTAGGTACAACAGCAACCGCTGCTCTCCTCATTCGCGCTACATCCAGGCACAAATCGCAGAGTACGAACGCTACCAGGCTATGAAGACCCAGCAGCAGACCTACCGCTCGCGCGACTCGTGGTCGAACAACCCTTGGAATGCGCCTCTCACTCCTCCAGATTCTGGCTACGGTACTCCCGAGTACGCCACGTCGGCAGCCTCTAGCAACGCTCGCTACAATGAGTGGTTCGCTCAGGCCGCTGCTCAGTACAGCAGCCGCTACCCCCAGCCTCCGGCTCAAAATACGTTTTATCCCAACCGCCAGACGCCTTATGCATCCCACTACCCTTACCAGCACCACGGTGTATGGGAGCATGGCGTTGCTGAGTGCAGTTGCCCGGGATGTGTCGAGCCCATGAAGCAGAACTCCTATTTCATGTCACATGGATATGGCCAGCCTGTCATGGGTTAACGTTTGCAACGATTTTCCTTTTTTCGTTTATCTTATTGAGCTCAGATGGCTCATACTTTTCCTTATTCGGTCCCGGAAAAAAAAAGGTGCGGATTTCGAGTTTTTAATGGCTACGAGTTTTCGCTTTCTTCTCTTTTATAAGAAGACGCGTGTTTTTCAGATACCCCCGGCATGAAAAAAAGAATTTCTACACACGCGATCAGTTTCAGCACGTCTTTTCTTCAGCCTGTTTTTATGATGTCGCCATGACGCGACTGTCGGATACCAGAGTTTTCTCCTCCGTGACACAAACACATTATTCGCAGTCATGGTTGGCTTCAACTATAAACGGCAAATTTTTTACGGTACATGTTCATAATGGTTTGGTTCGGCGCAAGGCTATATTTTTTTATTACTACTACAAAGATGTTCATCGTTGCAAAGCCAGCTTGGTCCTAGCGACATCAGAAGCAATCCTGTCATCATGGATTTCGATTTCGAAGGCACCGCCAGCTCGCAACAAGCACCGAAGGCGAACATTGTCCACTCTTTTACCAAAAAAAGAATCTTTTCTCTCTTTGTTTTGATACCATGCTCTATGGAATCTCTTGCGTTTGCGCGCGCGCTGCACGTATAGACCTGGTATTGGTACCCTGCATTGGTACCTCGATAGATCTGGAATTCAGTCTTAGGCGCTGCCTACAACCGAAAACTGCTCACTGGCAGGCGTCCGAAGTTTTACAAAAAATTCAAAAAAAGGTCTGAGCTGTGTCATCAGAAGTCCATGCCGGCAACGCGCCCACTATGGGTTGGTTGAAACACCAAAATATCCGTGCCGGCTATAAGCGACATTGTTCATGACGCATCAAAAAGCAATGAAGATTTCAAAAAGTTTTGGGAGCAGCACATATGATACTATACTTGTTTGTTCGTGGTAGGAACCGGTGTCTGTGCAAAACGGGTTTTACGACGGCGCTTTTATGCATTGTCTTCAGCGGGTAAAATGGAAGATTGGACCGGTTTATATATTTCTCTTTCTCTTCGGCGCATTTTTATTATTTCACCATATACGGTTTTGCATTCCGCGGCCAAACATCACTTGATGTAATGCCTTGGGTGGCTTCACGTCGAGGTCAGATGAATATCTTCTATACATCATCTGACTTGTTCTATTCCCCCTTCTTCTTTTTTTCTTTTTCTTCTCTTCTCTTTTCTATGAGATGTTAGACGTCTTGTTTTATGGATTGATTTGTAGAGAGGGAAGGTTTTACCGCGATGGAGAAGACGGGGTGTTTTTTTTTTGTTCGATTAATGAGATTTTTTCGATTCGCGTGAATGCGGACAGTTTCTCTGTATTCATATGATCAATTTCATACCTGTTGTGGAATCTTGTGTTCTTGGAGAGGACAGATGTGATTTTGGGGTGAAGGCTTGGGCGGTAGCCAGATGAGAGAGGCGTTTCTGCTTTCGCGACAGAGAGGAGATATATATCTGACACGGCAAATGAGCAGCGGCTTTATTTTCATACCCCGAGGAGACGGACAATTGGATGGATGGGAGAGTTGTGTATGTGGGTGTGTCCTGAGACGGAAACAGCTGTGAAGATATTAGCAGGGCTTTAGCCTAAGGTGACGTCTCCTATGGATCTCTTGACGGCGTCCCTCTTGTGAGATTATAGTACAATTAAATTGATGAGCAGCTTTGACTGGAATTCAGTTGTATAATTTGAGCCTGTACAATTACTTTTAATCGTTATCAAAGTCCGATTGAATTTGTCTGTGAAGAAAGATTTGGCGACTATGGAGGATGAGTAGAATTGAGTGTCCGGCTGATCATCGGAAGTTGAGCTTCTTACCTCGCCTTACATTCCGCCGGTGCCCTTTGGTCTGTAACTTGCATCAGATTTCACCGCCTGTGAATATAGTATCTGCCGACATGTCTCGTAGCTAATCAAACTCGTGATTTGCTTTATTGACTCATTTCGTTAATTTGCGACAGAGGGCTCCTAATTCCAACTACTCTTTATAATACGGCCTCGAAATCTACTGAGTTGGTTGCAGCCCTGGCGGCTAAGCCCATCTTTCGTACGAAGCGTTCCATAAGCCAATTCTCTAATATCGATTCAATCACGCTATTTCATCACAATTCGACATTTGAAGATAGGAGAAAGGAAAGGGGAAAGGTGAAAAGAAAAGAAAGAAAATAAGAAGAGAAATAATAAAAGAAAACGAAAGCTATAAGTGCGCTTGAGCTACAATGTCTGGCCGGTTCGTCTCCGGCGGCACGATATCTTCCAGCGGCGAGCCTACCAAGGATGAGAGCGGGCATGAGGCGGTGGTGGCGGCCGCGCGGGAGCCGCTGATGAAGAAGAATTCCGAGTGGGAGGCGGTGCAGCACGAGCTTGAGGAGGATCGGAAGAAGAGGGAGCAGGCGAGGGCGGATTTGGCGGGGGAAGGGCAGCAGAGCTTGTATGATATACTGCAGGCGAACAAAGGTTTGTTTTGAGATGAGAGATGTGATGATGAGAGCCGCGCTAAAATAAGTTGCTTCTTACAGCGGCTAAGCAGGCAGCTTTTGAAGAGCAGGCCAAGCTGAAGAATCAGTTTCGCGCCCTGGACAATGACGAGATTGACTTTTTGGACGAGGTGAGGGCCAAGGAGAAGGCGGATGAGGCGCGGGCGAAGAAGGAGCTGGAGACGGGGTTGAAGGCCTTTCGGGAGAGGCAGAAAAGCACTGGCGGAGAGGGTTCTGCGGCTGCGAATGAGGATGAGGGGCCGAAGGGGGGAGAGGATGAGGAGTGGGCTGTGGGGGGGAGGAAGAGGAAGAGGCATGAGAGGGAGATGTTGGGCGTGAAGAAGAAGGTTGTGAGTAAAGGGGGTGAGAAGGAGGAGGCTGTGACGGTGAGGAAGAGTGATAATGATGGTGATAACAAGAAAGAGCCTCACAACGAAGAGAAAGGGGAAGAGAAGAAGACAACGGGGGGATTGGGACTCGTGGGGTATGGTTCGGAATCGGATGAGAGTGGTGATGAGGATTGATATTTGATAAGAGAGAG